GTATGTATGTATGTATGTATGTATGTTTGTATGTATGTTTGTTACTCGTTTGCTCTGACGTTGCAGGATGGTATTTTATTTGAAATTTTAATGTTTATCCATGAGTGATGATAAATTAGTTCATAATTGCTAAAGTTTGCTTGAAATAACGCGTGCTTCCTTCTATTCTATCGATTTCAAAAAAATCGATATATTTTTGAAGTAAAAACTTTTACAGGCAGCTTTGGATGGGGAGTAAATTCGTGTAAGTCGTCATCGACATGGTCACGTGACGTTTTAACGCTAACACTCAAAGTGCCTATAGATGTCAAAATCAGATAAAAGTAAACAGTTTTAATTTAATTTAAATTTTTTTGAGCGGAGCCCTAATTCTTTTTCTAAAATAAATGTAGCCCACGTTAGTAGTACCTAAAAGTTATAACATCAGCTATCTTCCAGTTAAAGTCACGTGAAAATCAGTCCAGCCGTTTCAGAGATTATCCAGAATAAACAGACAGACAGACAAAAATAAAAAAAAATAAGTTTTTCTTATAAATACCGCATATCATTTCATATGCATTTAGCAAAACGCTGTTATTTTGACATTACAAACAGACACTTCAATTTTATTTATTTGTATAGATTTTAATTTAACATCAAACAATTAATTTGAATATCCAAAAATAACAACTGTTTGTTTATAGTTTTAAGTTTTCACTTCTGTCGGCAGTCCTCGTGAGTCCTTTTTGTATATTTTTTTAATTAAAAAGTAATTAGGGAACACTCCACACACCGCGTTGACTTTAGAGGCTATAACTGCAGATCAAGAGGTCTTGAGTTAGTAGCCCAAATATATTTCTGTTACTTTACAATAATTTAAAAATAAAAATTAAAGAATTTGTCGATACAAGCCCGGAGTTGGGAGTCGGTCCTGCGTCCAATACCTTGACGTCCGCGTCAAAATGTCATCCCATAAGCCAATTTATGATGTTTTCTTTTTATTATAATATCATTGCCCATTAGAATTTTTATGTCTTGGTTTCTTTTTACCTAACTGCGGCGAATCCCAAAGGAGGGTTATGTGTTTAACCTGTATGTATGTATCATGTATGTATGTACATATGTCCGATTCTATGTTATCTAGTAATTACTATAAACGGCTTAATCGATTTTGATGAAATATACGTAATTTGATAACGCGATTATTATATAATTAAAAATCAAAATGGCGGATTCTACGGGCCAATTTGTTCCTAAGAATTTTTTTTTCATCTGAATCAATTGAGTGGGGTATCAAAATACAGGTTTTTAAGAGGCGATTGCAAAAATATATACAACGTATATAATTAAAAGTAATTTAGGATAAGAAATTGTTAAATAAAAAATATTGAACTGACCAAAATTAAAAAACTGTAAATAAAATAAATATTTACTAAAATAAAAAAAAGACGATAACAAGTTGACGAAGGAACGCATTGTAACGCAGTCGAAAACATACATACAGGCAGCTATAATTCTAAGTATATGTATGTCTCTCCGAAGACTATGTTCCTTCGTCAACTTGTTTTTTTTTAGTCTTTAGTCTTTTAACTTTTTCCGCAGCCGGGTTTTTTATTTAAGTATATTTTTTTATAATTTAGTTTTAATTAATATATTCAGACTTTTTATAGACGCGCTGCCCGGACGAGGCCGCGTACAAAACTGAAAAATGTATGTAACAAAGAACGGTAGGTATTTAAATATTAATAAAATTAAAAGTTATTATGTAATAAATAAAAAATTATAATTTACTTGTGTAATTAATATAAAAAAATACATTGCCTTTGTAAAAACACTTTGAAACAAAAATTTAAAAGATTTCAGAATTACCTAAAGCACTATCGAGGTTATACTATTTACGTAATACGTAACATATACAAAAATACAGCTAGTTTAAGATTTTTTTTTGAATCCGGCTTAAGATTAGTTGATATTGTGTTCAAAAAATATATAATAGTAAAAAAAATTTTTTTGTATATACAATCTTTTATTTAAATGCTCTTGTAGAATACCTAATTAATTAAATTATATTTTTTATTTTATTATAATTTAATTAATTAGGTATACTACATCACCCCCTTCCAGAGACCGTCAAGGGCGATAGTACGCGGGAAACGGACTTACACTTTAAAAAGTAAAATAATATAAAAAAAAGTAAAATAATACATTATACTATTTATCTATACTAATATTATAAAGAGATAAAGTTTGAGTTTGAGTTTGTGACGTTGTAGGGGGTAATCTCTGTATCTACTGAACAGATTTAGATGTAATTTGGTAAGGAGATAATTTAAGACCCTGCGAAGGACATAGGATACTTTTTATCCCGGAAATCATCCCTTAAGGGGGTGAAAATCGGGATGAAAGCTTGTATGGGGAATCAAGCTAGGGACGAACCCGAACGAAGCGAGGGTGAGACGCTATTATGATATAAAAGCTAATCGAGAGATTTCAAGTATTACATTTTTCTTTATCTACATAGGTAACACTCTTTAACATCCCACTACTGGGCGCGGTCCTCCTCCGAATTGAACAATACGTGGGGGATATGGATTTAGGGAAACTTAAACGTAAGCATGATATGAAAAATAGATGGAATTATCAAAAGAAGCGTAAAGTCGCTAGCAAAAGCTAGTATGTGCTAGGAAATATGCCGAAAACTTTTATTTAATCCAAATATTTTATATATCATTTTTGTAATCTTTATTACTTCTGATTGTCATCTAAATATGTTTTAAATTCGTTTAAAGTTTTTTTTTTTTATTAAAACAATTATATTTATAATGCGGAAATATTGATCACATCTAAACGCAATGCTGTTGGCTGAATCGCAGTGTGACTCAACAATACATAGTAAATACAAACGTGTTGTATATAATAGGATATCTATATGACGGGGTATCTTTATCCTACCGATATCATCAGACTTTAGTGGTGATAAATCTTGTGGGCGTTATTAGGACTCAATGCGAACAAATAATAAAGTATTCAATGCTCAATAGAACCTACTCCAGGTAAGTTTCTAAGAAATTAATTAAATTTCTTAGAAATCTAGTGTTAACTGTAACGCCAGCGTGTCCGCGGTCGTGGAGGGATTAAGGGAATTCACAATTTTATAAATTTGAAATGTTAATTCTAATAGTTTCATTGAGCAACGGGTTCTCGACACCGATCTGACTTCATCACACAAGACTCCAATGATCATCCACATATCTCCAACGAATGTCATGATGGCGCCTCGACACCTTCCGAGACGCTGCCTCTGCTCTTTGAGTTTGATTTTTAAAAACATATTAATAGTGATTTTAAATAATAATAAGGCTTTAAATTCTAGCCGTAAAGGTCACTAAATCCTCCTCCGACATATATGTATATATTTTTAGGCAAAGGCAAAGCAATTCAGTACATTTTTCCTTCTCTGTTTGTCAACGGATTTACTTTTTTTTTGTTGTTAATGTTACCAACGATAAAATTTTGGATACAGATAGTTTAAATAGATAGAGGGAGAAGTAACAACAAAAAAAGTACTTTATTTATAAATGTTCATTAAAGATTATGGTCACATTGAACATTATTGGCTTGAAATTACTGAAAGTAGATGTATTTCATTTGGATATACTGCTAAAGACAAAGGTGTTAATGATGTTAACTTATTACGTGAGTGGGAAACTCATTACGTCTATGTACATTGTACTTAATATATTATTATTAGCTAATTGCAATTAAAGGTACAGACTAAGATTTTAGACCATGTGTCCATGATTGCATATTAAGTGTAAAGCAATCAAAACGTCGGGAATAAAAAATATAAATAAATCCGCGAAAAAATTCTAAAAGATAGTTTGATTAAAACGTCAAAATTTGCGTAAATCTACGAAAGTATTATAGCCTATGTACTACTGCTCATAGTCTATTTGTGTACTAAATTTCATATAAATTCTTCCACCCCTGTGTCAAGTTCCAGCTCCCTGGGGTGAAACACCCCCAACTTTCCCATTCCGGGCTGTTATTGGTACGTTCTTCACAAAAAGGCTCAATAGCTAAGCTTGACCAGATCTAGGCCACGATCCCAGGCACTGGCGTCCCAATATGAGGAGGACCAGATCATAGTCCACTACACTGACCAAGTACGGGTTGGCGGACTTCACATGTCTTTCGAAAACTTGCTAGGTTCTCTCAGACCTACAGGTTACCTCACAATGTTTTCTTCCTTCACCGTAAGACAATAGCAATTCGTATTGAAAATGATTCGCACATTCGCACAAAAATATCAGAGGAGCGAGACCTGGGATTTGAACCTGCTTCACACAGTTTCCCAGGTGAGCGTGTTATCACTGGGCTACCACTGCCTCTAACGTAGGGCCCATACATAAAGAAATATTGTTTAATGTACATCGGACTCCTGTTATGAATGCGAAAGCTTGTATGTGTGTGTTTGTATGTTTGTTACTTTCTCATGCTGAAAGAGCTGGACAAATTTGGATGAAATTTAGTAAACAGATAGAATACGACCTCGAGTGACACTAAACTCACTGTTGGTAATATTTGCCAAAACTTGGTGCCTTCATGCGATATTCTAAATATACAATAACTCCTAGAAAAGCACCGAGGACGAGCAAAACGAGTGTCAATCGCTAGTTAACTATTTTAAAAAAACATTTTATAGTAAGTAGTAGTTAATTTATTCTAAAGATTCCACTATCAATTTTGATACACACACCATTTTTTTAAATTATGATCTTGTAACGATTCATAAATGAAATCATAAAGCAAAAGCAACCTTAAAAATGTCTATTCCACCCTTATGTACGATACCCTAAAAGTATTTTTTGTCTATATAACCATAATTACATAACCTATTTAAATCTAAATAATTGTTTTGTCATGAAATTATTTTTTTTAACAAAAACAATATCTAGAAGGAAACTCACCTTGGACCTTGGACTTCATCTATTTATGCGCTTTAATAATACTGGTTAAATATGATTGAATCCATTTTCAACCGACACAAAGCAAGTTTACCGTCAGTTGATATCATGGCTTCAAAAGTTAACGTCACATTTAACATTCTACTAATCTCCGTTGCGATTATACTCGGAAATATTGTACGATTGCAAGGGATTCCGCTAAATAATCAGCAGAAAAAGTATCTCGGCTACACTAAGGAGTCTTTACTCAATTTTACGGAACTCAGTGAACATTATGGATACATGTCGGAAGAGCATACAGTGTTGACTGATGACGGATATTTTTTGACAATTTTTAGAATTAATTCAAAAAAGTGTTTAGGTAAAATGAAAAAACCACCGGTAATTTTAATGCATGGACTTCTCCTAAGTTCTGACGCGTTTCTAGATGCTGGACCTGGTGCTGGATTAGGATTTCTACTGTCGGATTCCTGTTATGATCTATGGATCGGTAATCAACGGGGAAATTATTATGCTAGACGACATATTAGATTAAATCCAGACAAAGATCCAGACTTCTGGCAATTTTCCGTTGATGAAATTGGTTTATACGATATACCAGCTATAATAGACTATGTTCTGAAATATACTAAAGAGAAGAAACTGAACTATATTGGATATTCTCAAGGTGCTGGAACATTTCTAATAATGTGTTCTGAAAGACCTGGATATTGTGACAAAGTAAATATTTTAATAGGTCTAGCTCCAGCTGCAAGGCAAACGCATTCTCGGTCCGTACCATATAGACTTGTAGCACAATACATAATGCAAATGGAACGTGTATTTTATGATACCGGTTTTCATGAATTTTTAGCAAAGGGTTCTTTAAGTCAGGAGTTTTTGGAATTCTTTTGTCAATTTACTTCTATATCGGAAACCGTTTGTGGAACGGGTGAAGCTCTCTTTGATTCATTTCATCCTGGGTCCATAACAAATAAAACTTTGCGTGCAATGTTCGGACATTTTCCTGCTGGGACGTCCATTCATAACATGGCTAGATATGGTCAAAGCATGAAGTCGCCGTTGTTTCAGAAGTTTGACTACGGAAAGATAAAAAATTTGGAGCTATATGGCAATGAACAGCCACCAAGTTATAATCTTAGTGCAGTGACAATACCATTTATGGTGCTGTATGGTAAAAATGACCATTTAGTGGACACTAAAGACATTTACTGGTTGATAAAAAAAGTGCCGAACGTGTTAGAGGCAAAAGAAGTGTCGAACCCCTTATGGAACCACTTCGATGTCGCGTACAGCCAATATAATAGGAAACTGTTGCTTCCTAAAATTAATGAATATTTATTAAAATATAGTAGAGTAGTTAAAAACTTAGCTACGTTTTTGTGATGAACTATGAATATTGAATTCGAGTTTTTTTTGTTTGTGAACACTTGAACAGAATAATTTCTTAAAATGTTGTTTTGTTTGTAGAAGTAAGCTTATAAAGGTGATATTAAAGATAATGTATATTTTATGTTTAAATTATAAAAAACAAATAAAATAAAATATTTATATTAAGACTTATATTTAAAGGCCAACTTCCCAACTCCGGGCTGCTACTGAGGCTTACTATACAGAAAGACTCAATAAGTAAACTTGGCCCGAGACGGGAATTGAACTCAGGACCTCTAGGTGTGCAGCCGTACATGCTAGCCACTACACCACCGAGGCAGTTAAGATTGTTATTAAGGACAAAGATCGCAAAAATGGGTATTTTTTATTTTTCGGCTGAACGGTGAATTTTATCATAAAAATAGGTCAGAGAAAAATTGTAGAGCATGAAATTATATATAAAAAATGTTATAACACTTTTTTCCATAAGAATCACTATTTCTGAGATACGAATTGGCACCCTATCCGTTGTCAAGGTTCGATGATATTGGGATGCGTAAAACACAAAAGTTAGCCATTTACTATTGTTTTCAACCAGTAAACATATATAATATTAACAATATAAATGCAGATAATGCAGATATCAGATGCATCGCTCCTTGACCTTGAATATTTTTTTTGCAGATGTGGGATCGATGAGGACTTTTCACAATTATATGCAATAAATAATTTAAAAAAATAATTTCACAATATAATAATGTTCCGAACGTCTGTATTCCAACCAGCTAGATATATTCAGCTTTATGTAAATTATGGTAACCTTGAAAGTCTTATGTAACCGGACTAACACGTGCGTAAATGTTTAAAAAGATCTTAATTAACATTAGAAAAAATGAAACTCAATATTAGATTTTGAGATTTGATGTTTTAATTTATCGATCACAATAAGTATCGCAAAATCAATTCAACATACGTAATAGAGTGCAAGGTGACAAACCAACCACATGACCACCTGGTTCCATGATCAGATCAGCTCCATGGTATCTTATTTTATTATTCAGATTTCAAATACATTAAAAGTTTCTATTTAATACAACAAAATATGTATTCAGCACTTTTTAACGTCCCATTGCTGGGCACGGGCCTCCCTTCAGTACGAGGGGGATCAGGCCATAGTCCACTACGCTGGCCAAGTGCGGGTTAAATAACACAAATGGAATTCGCTTATTAAAGGTCCTATACATTGCATTTAACCCTTTTTTTACGCCCCTCAGCTTAGTACGGGCCTCCCAATACGAGGGGGATCAATCAGGTTATAGTCTACCACGCTGGCCAAGTACGGGTTGACGAAGTTCACATGTTTTCCAAGGACTAGCTAGGTTATCTCAGACATGCAGGTTTACTCACGATGTTTTCCGTCAATGTAATACAAGTGGAAATCACGTTGGAAATGATTCGCACATTTTTTTATTTTTTGAAAATATCAGAGCTTCGAGATTTGGGATTTGAACCCGCTTCACTCGGTTTCCCAAGCGAGCGTGTTACCACTGGGCTACCACTGCCTCTTACATAGGTTCCATACACAAAGGAATATTATTTAATTTACCTTATACTACTGTTACGAATGCGAAAACTTGTAAGTTTGTGTTAGTGCGTTTGTTACTAATTTATGCTGAAAAAGCTGGACGAATTTAGATGCAATTTAGTAAACAGATAGTATATGACCTCGAGTGACACTAAGCTCACTGTTGGTAATATTTCCCAAAAGGTGATACCTTTATATCATATTGTAAATATAAAAGAACATTTAAATAAGCACCGACGAAGAGCAAAGCTAGAGGAAGTCACTAGTTAACTATTAAAAAATAACACTTTATAATGGATAGTTTATTATAGTAGTTTGTTTATTCTAAAAATTGCACTATCAATATTGATACACAAATATATTTTTCTTAATTAGGATCTTGTAAGGTATCAGTCATCTATATATATATATATATATATATATATATATATATATATATATGTATATATATATATATATATATATATATATATATATATATATATATATATATATATATATATATATTCTATCTAAAATATCATAAATTTAAATAATAATAGTTTTTCTTTATGTTACTTAGGTGAACTTAAAAATCTCTATTCAATTCTTTGGGTACGAAAACCTCAAAAGTAATTTTAATTTTTTGACTGTCATTACATAATCTATTTAATTTTAAATATTTTTTTTGTCAAAAATTAAATTTTTTAAACAAAAACTGTATCGAGAAAGAAGTTCACCTTGAACCTGACTTTATCTGCATAGGCGCATTAATAATACTGGTTTAATATTATTCAATCCATTTTAATATACACAGCAAGTTGTAGCGTCAGTTGATATCATGGCTTCAAAAGCTAATGTCACATTTAACATTATACTTATTTCCGTCGCGATTATACTCGGAAATATTGTACGAAAGCAAGTGATTCCGCTAAATAATGATCTGAAAAATATTCTCGGGTACACTAAGGAGTCTTTACATAATTTTACGGAACTCAGTGAACATTATGGGTACATGTCGGAAGAGCATACAGTGTTGACTGATGACGGATATCTTTTAACAATTTTTAGAATTAATTCAAAAAAGTGTTTAGGTAAAATGAAAAAACCACCAGTCGTTTTGATGCATGGACTTCTCTTAAGTTCTGATGCGTTTCTAGATGCTGGACCTGGTTCTGGATTAGGATTTCTACTGTCGGATTCCTGTTATGATGTATGGGTCGGTAATCAACGGGGAAATTATTATGCTAGACGACATATTAGATTAAATCCAGATAAAGATCCAGACTTCTGGCAATTTTCCGTTGATGAAATTGGTTTATACGATATACCAGCTATAATAGACTATGTTCTGACATATACTAAAGAGAAGAAACTGAACTATATTGGATATTCTCAAGGTGCTGGAACATTTCTAATAATGTGTTCTGAAAGACCTGGATACTGTGATAAAGCAAACATTTTAATAGGTCTAGCTCCAGCTGCAAGGCAAACGCATACTCGATCCATACCATATAGACTTGTAACACAATACATCATGAAATTAGAACGGATATTTTATGCTACTAGTTATCATGATTTTTTAGCAAAGGGTTCTTTAAGTCAGGAGTTTCTGCATTTTTTTTGTCAATTTACTTCTATATCGGAAGCTGTTTGTGGAACAGGTCAAGCTCTCTTTGATTCATTTCATTCCGGGTCCATAGCAAATAAAACTTTGCGTGCAATGTTCGGACATTTTCCTGCTGGGACGTCCATTCATAACATGGCTAGATATGGTCAAAGCATGAAGTCGCCGCTGTTTCAGAAATTTGACTATGGAAAGAAAAAAAATTTGGAGCTATATGGCAATGAACAGCCACCAAGTTATAATCTTAGTGCAGTGACAGTACCATTAATGGTGTTATATGGTAAAAATGACTATTTAGTGGACACTAAAGACATTCACTGGTTGATAAAAAAAGTGCCAAACGTGTTAGAGGCAAAAGAAGTGTCGGACCCTTTATGGAACCACTTCGATGTCGCGTACAGCCAATATAACAGGAAACTGTTGCTTCCTAAAATTAATGAATATTTATTAAAATATAGTAGAGTCGTTAAAACTTAGTTACGTTTTAGTGATGAACTATGAATATTAAACTCGATTTTTCTTACTTGTGAACGCTTTTTGAACACAATAATTCCTTTAAATATTGTTTTATTTATAGAAGTAAAATTTTAAAGATGATATTAATGATAATGTACATATATTTTAATGTTTAAATATAATATTTAACAAATTAAACAAATATTAATTATATTAAGATTTTTTTAATTTAAAGGTCATTTTATATTTATTACCGTTGTCAAGGAAATGTCTCATAATGTCATGTCATTCCAACAAATATGGAACTAGAAGTAAGCATTTAATTCACTGGAAATATACTAGAATATTGAGAAATATTATATTTGAAGGATATACTGATTTTATTACGTAAATAAACTCTTAGTTAACTTATTCTAGTCCAAGAATTTTAACTAAGGGGCTAGTGGAAGTCATAATGTTTGTAGCTTATGAGCTCTTAATAACAACACCCATCACAGTACCCATCTCCTGACTCTAGGTGACCCTCAAATCTGCAGATATCCACAAGTAGCCACTGAAAGGTTTCACAATCGACCTCCTAGTCCATCAGGTCATAGTCAATAGTGCCAATTTATTATACTCTCTGCTAAGTATTTATAAAAAGCCGCTGAAGGGGAGTATACACGTTATATTTGTATATTATTTTAGTATTAAACTGCTAAGTAATCACATCTTATATTTAAATTTGAAAACACTTCATCGATACAACATTATCTGACTTTAATTAATTGTCATGTTCATAGATTTGGTTATATTTTTATTTTCTGAGTTTGTTTACAGATAGCACAAATATTTATTATCTACTAGCGATTTACACTCACTTCACCGGGTTGCGTTCCTAGATACGCGGATATTGTTCAGAATTTCATGGTTTTTAATTTTTTGCGCGGAAACCTTATTCTTTTACTAAAATAAAAGTAGCCTAAGTGACTCCTTATAGTATCAGGTATCTGCCAGTCATTCCGTAAAAATCGGTCCAGCTGTTTCCCGCTTCGGAGATTACCCGGAACAAACAGACAGACAGCTTCGCTTGGGTTCGTCTCTAGAAACACACAAACAAATCTATCCCTCGGGAACCGTAATTTTTTCGGGTTAAAAAGTAGCCTATATGCTATTTTGATGTATAAGCTAATTGTAAAATTTTATTAATATCCATTCAGTAGTTTTTGCCTGAAAGAGTAACAAACATCCATACATCTATACATCCAGACATATATACCTCCAAACTTTTGCATTTATAATATTAGTAGGAAGTAGGATTTATAATGGTCTTCTTGAACAACTTCCAAATAACGGAATGTCATTTTAGGTGTATATTGTATAACC